CCTGCCTGCGCTGCCCAAGCTTCCCGCCCTGCCGGCTCCGCCCAAGCTCAAGCTTCACGCCCTGCCGGCTCCGCCCAAGCTCATGCTTCACGCCCTGCCGGCTCCGCCCAAGCTCAAGCCTCACGCCCTGTTGGCTCTACTTAAGTTCCGCTCTCTGTCAGCTGTACCCCAGTTCCTTGCCCTGCCGGCTCCCTACTTGAGGCAGGCTCCGCTCTTGCTGCCTGCCGGGCGGCCGGCCCTGCCCTGGCCTCCTCCCCTGCCGGCCCTGCCCTGGCCTCCTCCCCTGCCGGCCCCGCCCTGGCTTCCTGCCCGGCCGGCCCCGCCCTGGCCTCCTCCCCTGCCGGCCCCGCCCTGGCTTCCTGCCCTGCCGGTCCCGCCCTGGAACCCTGGGTTACCTCTATCCCCAGGGCCTCTTCCACTACACGGGCCTGGCCCACCATCCCTCCCCCTGATCCACCTCCGTTCCGCCTCCCTCCGGGGTTGCTCCTGGTGGAGCGTCTGGAATCCGCTCCTTAAGGGGGGGGTTCTGTCACAGTCTTCAGCGGGTGTGCCCAGGAGGGCCACCAGATGACTGTGTTCTGTGAGCGCATGGCTTGTGTTGTGTTTGTCTGTTGCCATGTGCTCTCTCCTGTCGATTGTCTTGCCCCTCCCATCTTGTTACCTCGTTATAGTTTAAGTTGATCCACCTGTGTCTCCCTCGTTTGGTTCCCGCTTTAGCCCTGCCTGTCTGTTTTTCCCCTTCGGGGTGATTTGAGTTTGTTTTTGTTTAATTTTTTACTAAAATAAAAGTACCATTTCTCCAGCGATTGAGTCCTCGCTTCATCTCCCCGCACGCACCGTGACATGACTGGAATTGAGAACCACTGCAGTATTTATTAATCTCGGTTCATGTTAGTTAATACAAATACAGCTGTTCATGTTATTTCACAGTGCATTAACTAATGTTAACAAACACAACTTTTGATTTCTGTATTAGTAAATGTTGAAACTGACATTTAAGATTAATAAATACTGTAGAAGTATTGTTCATGTTAACTAATGAACCTTATTGTAAAGTGTTTGGGCCTACTATTACAACTATGAAATAAATGTAGTGAAACAAACCGACAATGATAAAATATCCTTAACACTTGACAAAGTTATTTTTGTTAGCATCAGTAAAAATATTAGGTATTATAAAAAAGCAATAAAGAGTTTTAATGCATTTAATAATTAGCTGATGGCAGTACTGCTGTTCATTTTTGTTCATTATCCAATAATCAATTAGTGTGTGTTACACTTAAATAAAAACATTATTAGTGCATGTTGTAACATAAGGATTGATAAGTGCTGTAAAAAAATGTTTCGAAATAGTTGACTAATGTCACTGAATACAAATTTATTATCGTCAACGTCATAAATGATAATGCTCCATGGTGATCTCACAAAAAAAAACTCATGTTTGGATATTAAAAAGTAAATAAATACAAATAAATTGAGCAATTATTAGTACAACTAACGACATAGACAGCAAACTGGAAAAGATTTATTATTCAGATCTCAAGAGAAAGAGACTGAACTTTGTAAAATGTTCAGTTGACTTAATTTGATTCGATTGCAGGGACGTGTTTTTTCTGTTGGAAACAGTGTGTATTCCATTACAATTCATTTTCAAATACAAGAATTAACAAACAATTAAGTAATTTTAGAAATTACTAATCTTTTAGAGTGGAAATCGCAACTTCGTCAAGTCCATCCATGGTGAAAAATTGGTGGGAGGAAGTGCCTTGCCTTCGTCTTCTAACTGCACTTCAGCGCACTGATTGCGCATGCGTCTTGACGTTAATGCGTCACAGGGTCAAGGCACTGTTGTGCAGTGCGCATGCTCAGCACGGGTTTTCTAATTTCCTGTGGGTTTTTTTACATGTTTGGTTTGCCGGATTTAAAGTTAACTTGAAAACTGCGGTTAAAAGAGACATTAGTCATCGATTTTATACTCAGTATTTCTGCTGTTTAGGTACGAAATCTCGATTTAATTTCACCGGAGAAAAATTATTTGGCGCTGCGTCATTTGTTATGTATTTGTGGCTCTTACACTTAAATCTTTATTGAGTCACATTAATTTTGCACATAGTCGTAGTCCAGGTTTCCGCCTGGTTTGTGGAATAGATGGATGCACTAAAGAGTACCGAGTCTACCACTCTTTTTGGTATCACGTCAGACGAACACACTCACAATATCTAGATGCCGTGAGCAGGATTAGATCACTTCGGAGAGAGAGATCAGTACACGAGACATCCAGCAGCAATGTGTGGGCATATAGTGGGCCAACACTGGTGGCTCAGGAAGCAGGGAACTC